TGTCCCGGTACGAGCTGGAGGGCATGCCCCGGGAAGAGGAGTCGGCCCCTGGCAGCGGGGTGCTGCCTGCCACCGAGTGCAGAACCAGGACAATGGCATTGACCAGGGCGGGGTGAGCAGGCACCAACCTGAGATGCGGCAGGAAGAAATACACGGGTGACAAAGAAGGAAGGAGCATCCCTGGCCATGACAGGAATTCTGGGTGCCCTCACAGTAATTGAGCCCCCCTTGTCTGCCCTTCAATTCCGCAGTGTCAGCAATCTCCCCCTTTGCCTTGTCCTCCTGCCGCTCTGCCCCCAGCAACAGCAGGCATGCCTTCACCCCGGGACCCACTGCCGCTGCCCCACCTTCCCTTCCGCATGTGTGACGGGACAGGTGCAGTCAAGGCGGCTCAGGTGTCAGCCTCTGCTCCTGGCTCCACCACTATGTCACTGGGTGATCTTTGACAGGCCCCTTCTCTTTCCAGGGTGGGGCTATTTTCTTCACTTGCAAATAAGGGGACACAACTTCTACTACCCCTTCCAGCTCTAAAATTTGGGGATCTATGCACCTGCTTCTTCCCCTAGCTTCAAATCCTTCAAAGGCTCCCGAATGTCTACCGAATGTGGTCTAAGCTGAGCCTGGCCTGCAAAGCCACCTTCTTCAGAGCCCCGCTTCATCTCTACATCTCTGTGCCCCTGCCCTTGGACTCTGTCACTCCCCCAGAAGCCCTCACTCCTTCTCACCTCCTGACATACTTAGAAGACAGATTTGGGGGATGGCCTCCAAGAGCAGAATCCAGGGTGACGATTAGGTTTCTGGCCCGACTGTGAGCAGATAGAGGGTCCCCTTAAAAAGATGGGTGTACTTACGTATCAAGCATGCTGGGATCAGCAAAGACAGAGAAGAGGTCCTTGTCCTGGAGAACCCCTGAAGGAGAAAGGGGCTCACCTCAGAGACTGGAAATCTAGCCAGGTCCAGTGGGAAGAAGAGGCTTTAGACCTCAGAGCACCTGGCTTACCAGGGACATAGGACTACAAAGCAGCCCACACAGGAAGTGGGGGAAACTGAGCACCGGGAGCACAACCCAGGTGCTCTCCCCCTTGTGCCCTGCTCGCCACCTCCCCCAGCACTTAGGTTACGTACTGTACACCGATGTGCCAGCCTCCTTTTCCCACACCTCTGTGTTCTTCCCATATCCATCAAGGTGTGCAGGAAGTCTTCCCTGACTGCTGTGGTTTGGGCTAACTGCTGCCCTCACATGGCTTCCTCATAGTCTCATTTATGATGTTAGGTAGGCCATGATTTCCCCTGTGGGCCATGATTTCCCTTGGAGGGCTGGGTACATGGAACACATCTGGGTTACATGCCCTCCCCCCACAAGAACAGTGATTCTTCAAAAGACGGTCAAACGTCCTTTAGGGTAAAAGTGCCTCCTCCGGGTTTCTCTTTCTCCAACAGCTTCCATTTCCTTAAGTTCAGCCGTGTACTTACCAAGAGCAATGGGGTCACTGCTGAGGCCTGGGGTAGCCACAATGATCTGATCCAGAGATTCCTTATTGCTGAGCATCTTAAAAACCTGCAGGAGAAATGGGGAGGGCTGAGCCCTCCCACCAGCTCAGTGCACTCAGCGAATACCCACACTCCACTGAAGTACTTCCTCCCTCTAAGTGCTTGCACATTCGCCACCACAATGCAGCAACAGCCCCGGGAAACCCGAGGAGCCTCTTTTTTCCTGAGACCGTGGCTTACTGGAGGGGTAAACAAACAATAAAAAAGCAACATCACAGTAAACCTTCAGTCTCTGGTCCTTTCCTCCAAAATAAAAGCTCTCGTTACAAGCCCAATAACAAAGGTTTCTCTAGGTCCCCAAAGTCCTGTTCAATCTCCATACAATTACCATTTTGCATTTATATATATTGGGAAGTTTGCAGCTGTATTAATTTTGCTCATCGAAACTCTCCTGTAGAAAGAGACCAGTGTGTTTTCCCAGTGGGTAGGCAGTTCAAAGAATGAAGCCCAGCAGAAACAGTATATGGCTCCTTGGCTGTAACCATACTCATTCCATGAGGCCAGTGTCAGGACAGGCTGTGTCCTTACAGGGAATCAACAATGCCTAGCTGACAGTTCTTTGGGGGAAGACAGGGCTCTGCTGAGACACACAGACGTGGCAAAAACTCCCCAAGGGACTCTTGGGAGCCATGGCAACGGGCTTCCAGCTCCCACTCTACACCTCTCTCCAGTGTTCCCCCTCTCCAGCAGCCCTGGGTAGTCTCGCAGGGGCCGTGGCACACACTCACCGCCTCCCTGTAGGAGGAGCTGCTGTGCAGGGCAGTGTGCAGCACCCGGAACTCCCTCAGGGCAGCCACTTTGTCCACAGGTTCTGGAGACAAGACACTCAGTTATCCTACAACCTGGGCCCTGCCCTGGCCGCCGATGCAGAACATCATTTCAGCACGTGCCCAGGTGCAGGCTCCCTTCCCTTGTCATCCCACTAAGAATGAGCACCCGTTCAGAAAAACCCATTCATGCCACAGATGTGAAAGCCACACTCTCTTTTAAGCATCTTCAGTAGGTAAGCAAATCCAAGTTCCAGCAGAGGGGAATCTTAGCACATAAAAGAAACTGTTCTGATCAATATCCCACTGCAGGAATTCTAGACTTCTTACTTTTGAAAAGGAGAACAGTATAATGAACTCAGTAGACTTTGGTGCTGTGATTTAAAATAAGAGCTTCAAGCCATCTGAACAATACGGAGCTCTGTTGACACAATATGTTAAGAGAAAGAAATAGAACACGAAGTTGTGTGTGCATTCTCTAGTAAAACTCTGTCAGATGTGTCAGGGTACACGTGGCCCCAAACTGGGGTGGGGGGGCTAGGGGAAGAACAGCCCCTAGGTAGGGTGACAGGGTTAAGGGTAACTTTTCTCCTGGATATTGTCCTTCAGGAGCCTATAATATTATATTTTAAAAAAAAAAAGTACCAGAAGGACCAAGAAAACACTGTACTTCTAGGGTTCTTTACAAACTTTCATCACGTGCCCAAAAGCAAGGACACTGTCACTGAGATTCATAGCTCCTTTTTGAACTTCGGACACTATGCTTCATATATATGGGAAAGTTTAGCAGTTGTCTTAGTGTTACTTGGTCACTTTATTATTTAGGACATCAGCCCACTCCACTGGTGAAGAAATCTGGGTAAAAAGAGAGGGCGTAAGTAGAAGTCCACCCTGGGTCACACTTTTAAAAGTGTAATGATCACGGCTACTTGTGATTGGACAGTCTGGGTGCGGCCCAACTGCAGAGGCACCATTCCCAAAGCAAGGTGAACCACATCCTGACCTGCAGTTCTAATCATCAGGGTTGTCTCTTTTGAAAAATACTCATCTCAAGTAAATTACCTTATTTATTCATTCAACAGACATGTACTAAGCATTTACTACATGGTTTTGGAGTAAATCTGATTTTAGGTAAGGCACAGGAATGCAAAAATTAACAGTCCCTGCCATCAGGGAACTCTTAAGACAGTAGAGAAACAAGAGTGGATCAAACACACCATTACAAAGTACCATGCTGAGGATTTCAACAGAGATATGGATGGCAGCGCGGGCGTTAGGAACACAGAGGAAGACAGCCACTGCCGAAAGGGAGGGCCACACAGAGCTGTCTCCCAGGAGAGAACGTTTGAGAGAGGTATTTAAGGCAGAGCAGACATTTACTAGGGGGAGAAGGTACTCCAGGCCTAAGTGAAAACACGTGAAAAGGCATGGAAAAATATAATGAGGTGCTTGGAGGGAACAGCAAGTTGTTTTTGTGGCTGGAGCCCAGGGTACACATCCCTGCTCAAACAGCAGGTCTAAGTGAGATCCTACAGGGGTCTGTAACCCTCTGAGAAGAACCACCAAAGGGATCCAGGTGGGAAGGAGGAGAGTGATAGCTTCCCCTCCTATAGGCTCTAATCTGGTGGGAGATAAAGAAACATGCTTCCTTTTGGAAGAGTGCTCAAGGATAAAATATGTAAGGTGCCATCACAAAACAGTTTCTTTTCAGATACAAAAGTTTATTTTCGCCTCCCAATAAAAAGTCCATTTGTTTCAAAAATAAATCTCCAGGCAGAAGGGGGAGGAAAAGGACTCTTCAAATCTTAAGCTCATAATCAGCTAAGAGTTACAGTTGTCCTTATAACATCTCTGAGCTAATCTCAGCCTTTGGAAGTGGGAGGCAGCCATCCTGGTGGAAACAACATGGGCTCTTGAGCCAGGAAAACTTGGACTCACATCCCAGCCCTTGCATTCATTTTCTAAGTAGGTGACCTTGAATAAATACCTTTCTAACCCTCTTTTTCTTGTCTTTGAAATGCTAACTAACCTGCAGAGCCACTGCAATGATTAAATGAGATATCAAAGAGAAACAATCTGGCTGGAAGAAGCAACAAATGTTACTTTCCTTCTGTCAAAGCCCTCCAGCCAAAGACCAGAGGGGCACACCTGCAGCTGAACAATCTGGGTTTCCTGCTCCTTACAGGGAGAAAGCACACCTCAGGAGCCCGGGGGGGGGGGTGCGTCTTAATAAGAGGATGTGAGAAAGGACTTACTGTAGGATTTGGGCTTCGGCCGAGTGACTTGTGGGGAAGTGTAAGGAAGCAGGGCTTGGCTCTGGATTGGATGCTGTCAGGAAGTGGGGGTGGTTTTACGATCGATTATCTTAATACTTCTCATCTAGAAGGAAGGAAGACTAGAGCAAGGAGAAAGCTGTACCTGGTAAAGCAACCAGCAGCCAGGATAGAGGGATATTCAGTCATTTTTGTGGTCTGAACAATGTTCAGGTCTTTGTCCTTGTTCAGAAACAAGCGGGACTTTGTTTTTGTTTTGATCCTTTATGGTCCCAGGGTGTGTGGGCTCGTAGATGGTGGCGACTTGTGAAACTGTTCATGTTTCAAGGCCTAGCTGAGGACCGGGCCAGCCCCCAGGTGTCAGAGACTGCCTGTCTCTTTCTCACTTCCCATCGAAGAAGACCTTTTTGTCCTTTATGTTTAGAATTGAAAAGAGGGGGAAATTTCAAGCTGATAACCCGTCATAGCATTTGTGAACATAAAAAATTCGTCAAACTGCTCGTTTTTAACAAAGTTAATCTCTTATACAGCTCAGCTTTATCCTTGGGGAGGCTTTTAAAATACATATGAAAATTTTACATTATGAATTCCACACAGCACCTTTTATCAATAAATCAAAAAAGCTGTTCAAGGCTTTGTATGTTTCCTTCAAGAGCGATTTTCATACCATTTGAAAATTTTCAAGCTTTAGGAAAATAAATAACCAGTATAGCAGGAGGAGTGAGCTGACTGAACAAGTCACCGCCTGAAGCAGCGCGTGGGAAGATCTGCTAACAAGAGAACAAACTACAGCATTTAGAGGAGGGCAAGGAGTTTCCAGCTTTTTTCTAATGAGAAGGACAAAAACAAAGATACAAAATGCACTGAGAAATAAACTGTTACCCTAAAGGAGTTTAAACAGACACACACTCCCTGCCTGTTCATTAGAACAGTGGGTGATGAACTTTAAAAGTAGAGAAACAAACCCCCTTCTGTTAGTGGTGTTGGTAGCAAGAAGATCAAAATTGCACTGGTTTTCAATGTGGTCAAATCCAGTAAATAATGAAGATATCCTTTATCATCATCTCAGTAAATCATCCCTTTGTTCCACCCAGGCCCATGCCTTAAGAACACACAGACCCTTCCCTTGATATTACAGAAGCCCTGCACGTCTAAGGGCCACTCCTCACGCACCTGGTTTCTGATCTGGCTCCGGCCAGGACTTGCGTAGAACATGGACTGTGGACCCAGGCTGAATGCCATAGAAGTCAAGGGTCTGGTCATCTTTTAGCTTTCGGCCACAGTATATCAGATCTAAAAAAATAAATAAATAAATAACTGTCCATTTATATTTTGCTCCTCAGAACAATTTTAAATGGTTTCTGTCGCTTAAGACTTTATCTTGTTTTGACAGATAGCTGGAGAATGACAGATGCCTTAAAAAGTACTATTATTCAATAAATACACTTTAATAATGATTGTTAGCCAGCATAAGCACAGGAAAGCTCTAGAGCTTAACATCCTAGAAACTGCTCAATTTAAATGAATGGGAAAATGCAACAATAAAAAAGCATGAACCCAGTGTTTTTATGACTGAAAACACACCTTTTTTTGTCAGTTTATATGCCATCATGTTTATAATACAATTTAATTATATTTAAATTCCTTCTTCCTCCACCCTTCCATCTTCTTTTCCTTTTTCCTTGCCTTCTCTCTAATCACCCAAAAATCCTTCTAATCATCCCTTAAGACCTACCTCAAATGCTGTGTACTGGGGGCTTTCCCTGACCAGCTCCTCCTTCCCTAGCCCACCCCAAATTCTTGTTCTTTCAGAGAAAGAATTCAACAGCATCACAGTTAAGGAACTTTGTGGCAAAGTAGTCCAGTATAATGTATATAATGTACAGCGGAAATGGCAACCAACTGTTTTACTATATAATTTGTGTTCCTATTCACTCAACAACAATCACTTCCCCAGAGTATTAACACTATGAGGCAAAAAATTTCAAATTCCTAATTTACCCTTGTAACTCCAGAAGTATTTTCCCCAAAAAGAGATCAGAGCAGCAGCCCATTCCCAGCCAAGACTCACCAATCAGTTCAGGGTCTGGAACAGACTCCTGGAGTTTGCCAGCAATAAGCTGCTTCAGAAATGAAATACTATAGCCCCCCAGTGAGTATTCTCCCAGCTCTGTCTCTGGTAACCGAAGAATAGACTTTGGGGCAAGTGGCTGGTCAGCCAGCTTCACCGCCAGGTGCCAGTCTGAGAGAGACATCCTCTCTCTTTCGCGCTCTCTCTTTTTCCCTGTAAAAGAAAAAAGTCTTAGTGGTTAAAGGACAGATCACCACCCTACACCACCCTCACCCCAAGGGGTTGAATGAGGGATAATTCAAAAGCACAGGATGTAGCATCAGGAGACCAGACTAGAATCTGGGGTCCTCTCTTTACTCATCCTATGATAGACAGCAAGGAACTTCAGCTCTCTAGGACTCAGTTTCTCCATCTTTAAAGTGGACATAAAAATGCCATCCCAGCTAACAGAAATGTTGTGAGGTTCAAATGAAATCATCCAACTCTCTCCCTTATGTACACTACATTTCCAATTTTTCTTTAACAACTCTTGCTTGAACTACTAAAACAGCTTTATAACAAACTCCCTGCCTCTTGCCTCTCCCTATCAAATATCCGTGCTGCTACTCAACTCATCATTTTAAAACACAGATCTGTTTAAGTCATTTTTCTGCTGAGAATCCCGCCCATGACTCCAAACCACCTTTATGAATGTCTAAACTCCACACCCTGGTTTTCAAAAACATTCCCATCGGTTCATTTTGCCAGCCTTCCTCCCCAAGAGTTCTGGGCTGCCCTACCCTCCCCAACGCTTAAGTCCAATTCCAAGCTGGGATTCATAACAAAGCTCTCCCTGACTTTACACCTCTGCTTATTTGCTAACTCTGCCTGCAATTCTTCTTCCCTTTGGTCTCTAAGTAAACTCCTACTAAGACCAACCCAAACACAGCCTCCTCTGTCCCCTCTCCCTTTCCTCTGTTATTCTCACATTCCCTCAAGGAAGAGGGTTACAAATATTCGTCTACTTCTCAATCTTGCCCGCACCTCATTCTTAGAGGCCCTTGAAAGCAAAGGCTAGAATTTTTTTACTTTATTATCCCAATGCCTGGCACATATGGGTGCCCAGAAAATGAACCAGAAACTCTGAGGATAGAAGAATCCTGTAAGGCAAGACCAGCCCCTGTTATAATCATTTTTGCTTCCAAAGTGCCTTCTTTGGAAGTAAAAGAAAAGGCTCCGAGGCTGCCCAGCAGATCCTAAGGCATCCTCAATCCTCCCATCGCCAGGTTTAAGGCAGGGAAGGAAATAGGTCTTTTAATTTACCATTATCCCATTTAATCCTCACAATTGTTCCCTGAAGCAGGCATTATCAGATGATGACATGTTACAGACAAAGGAATCGAGACGCAGAAAGGTGAAGCCAGTGGCCCAAGGTCACTGATAGTTAATAGTGAGACAGGGACACTTATCTCTTGGGTGACAACCCCACCGCGCCCACAGAACCAGCTAACTAGTAACACACACCGATCCCGCGCGGCCCAGGACCCAGCGCCCTCACCCGTCCCGCGGAAGGAACCCGGCCGCAGGGCCGCCGGTGTAAACACTCACTCAGGTCCTCTCGCCGGAAACCGGAAGCTTCGCTTTGCATTCTGGGAGTTGTAGTTTTGACTCGGCCTCTGCCGGTTTATAAATGGCCGGCCGACAAGCGGCGCTAGTTGCAGAGCTTCCGGTTCCGGGGAGGGCGTGGCTTCTGGGCCGCTTGAATGTTCCCGCGCGAGACCTCCTTCGTGCTTCCACAGGAGAGGGTCCGTGTTCCAGGGTGCGAGTCACGAGAGAAGGGCCTGGTGTGAGGTTTGCAGCCCCGCGGTTCCCGCAGTGTACTGGGAAGCATGCAGAGTCTGTCGGTTAAGCGCCGCAGGTGGGAACGCCCGCTGCGGGGCCCTCCTGCTCCGACCCTTCCCTTCGGGAGGTCCCTTTCCAGAGCAGCTTCTTCAGACACGCCCCAGCGACTCCCAGCAGCCCTCACCAGAAAACCGCCTGCCCTCGAGTGAAGTCAGCCTCTTTAGTGCTCCCCGCCTCAGGCTTCTCGTGGCGAACCTACCTGTGGGTCATACCAGGAACCCAAGGATGACTGCCTCTAAAAGTCGGTATCGTTGAGAGGAGTTACCACGTAACGTTCCTGGTATGTCCCAACATGCAGTGGTGAAGTTCATATAAGTCATTCATAGAATCAATTAGGGAAGGGGAATTTCCACTGGATGCTCATGGAGAAACGGCATACAGTCGTCCTTAGGTATCTGCAGGGGATTGCTTCCAGGACCCCCACTGCATACCAAAATCTGCGGATCTCCAAATCCCTTATATAAAGTGGCGTAGTGCAGTCAGCCCTTAGTACCCTCAGATGCGGAACCCGCATCATTCCGTCTTGTTTCCCTCATAGTGGAGATGAGCATACTAGATGCACATGAATTTTTTGTTTAATTTAGTTATAAGTTCTATAGGAAAATGAACAGTAACTATCTTATCCTTCCTTTATATTCAGCAATTGACCAAGACCTGGCACGTTGTAGGTGAGCAATAAGTATGTGTTGAATGAATAATTTGGCCAAAGCTATTTACCAAATGTGGCTTGTTGCTCCCAGGAAAGGAGGTAAGCCTCTCTGAGTTCTGAATTATTACAGTGTTTTTGAACATTTGAAATTATTAAATGAGTAAACTAATGAAGGAATAACCCAGGACCAAACATGTTCTTTGAGAACCAATTTACTAAGTAGGTGTTACTGATCAGGATTCTTGGCCTCCTTAATCAATAGAAATTGATGAGACCAGACAAGAAATTCAGGCAAGGTTTATGGGGACCCATGCTGCAGCATAACGGAGCAAAAACAAGTAACAGGTTCCCTTGCTCACTCCCCAAGGAGAGAGGAGCTGGCCCCCTAAATGGGGTGAGGGTAGGGGTGGATTCGTGGGTTAGGCTGGAGGTTTGGCTTAGGTGGTCTGCCCTCCCCCTTGGTGGTGCTGTGTGCAGGGATCATGCGCAGCACTCTGCTTTTTCTCCTGACACCTCAGAAGTAGCAGTTGGGTTTTCAGTCTTTTTGTATCTTGTTCATAATTCACCCCAACTGTGCATGTACACAGTTATTCTTAGTCCCTGATAGTTTCTTTGTGTTCTGTTGTTTGGTCCAGGTGCAAGCCTTGCAGCCCAGGGTCCCAGGTCCCAGGCTCCAGCCTGTCTCATAGGTGCTTGGTAGGTCAGAAGCCAGGGTCAGATTCTAGATAAAATTAGAAGCCTGAACCCAAGACAAAGATGGATGACCAGACATGATAAAAAGCAAAGTATCCAGGCAGTCCTTCAGCCAATTCATATTTTAGTTTTCTCTCATTAGTTTTCTCTGAGAAAGTGGTGGACAATTTTTCATTGAACCTTCAAGAAATTATTTGCCCAATCATTAACTACTGGAAAATAAATGATAAGAATACACATTTGTATTTTTTAAATAACTTTCTGTTTATAAAATTAATATGGAGATTTCTGGGCCTGGCAAGATAGCAAGTGAGAATCATCTGTAAATACTTCGGCTGAAAACAAAAAATGTATAAAATAATACATATTACCAATCACATAGCTGTGGGCACAGGAGAAATGGGAAATCCTCAGATACCAGAAATGAAAGGATAACTGGAAAAAGGCAGTGAGTTTTGAAGCTGATGAGTACCTTTGCAGAGAAATTAGTGGTCCTGGAAACCTTGCTTGGAGACTCTTGTTTTAACACCATAGCATTTGGGCTGTGCCTCTGAGAGACTAAAACTGATACTATTAAATAAAGTTGAAACTTTTAAAAGATTGTCACCCTAGATAGTGCTGAGAAGCTTCTGAAAAAAAAAAAGAAAAAAACATTTTGCTATTAAAACAAAAAACAAACTGCCAACAAAGAAAAGCATTGGACCTGGTGACTTCACTGGTGAATTCTACCAAGCATTTAAACGACTAATACAATTCTAATTCTGCTCGAACTTTTCCAAATAATTGAGGAGGAAGGAACACTTTCTACTCATTTTACAAGGACAGCATTACCCTGACACCAAAGCCAGACAAAGACACTACAAGAAAACTACAGTCCAATATCCATTATAAACATTGAGGCAAAAATCAACAAAATACTAGCAAATAGCATTCAATTTAAAAGAATTACATGCCATGACCAATGGGATTTATTCCTGAAATGTAAAGATGGTTTAACACCCCAAAATTAATGTAATACACCACATCAACAAAGTGAAGAGGAAATAACCACTTGAGCATCTCCATCTAGAAAAAGCACTGACAAAATTCGACATCCTTTCAAAATAAAAACACTCAAGAAAAAGCAATAGAAGAAAACTACCACAGCATAATAAAAAGGGTCTTCTGAATTACCCCCTCCACTCATAGAAGTGAGTTTGGATTCTATGAACACAGAGCAGCTGGTGGGGAAGGGGTGTGTGTGGCCGGCAGCCCAGAAGGTTGATGACTGGGGAAGAGAGGAAAAGTGAGAAGGGAGAGAATCTGGCCAAGGTGAAAATTCTGGCAGTTCTCAGAGCGGAGCGAAGGTGGGGCTCTGAGCTCCCCACAGATATCTACCCTCTGTCTGCCTCCCACCCCACCCACCCCCAACTCAGCTCTGAGGGGACAGCATCTTGTTCCTGCGTAAAGGCCCAGAGGGAGCCCTGTCCAATCACAGCAGCCCATCCTCCGAGAAACACAGCCCTGGGGTCCAAACACTTAGCTGGCTATTAGCAAGGTGGCCTGTGCCCTCAGAGAGATCCTCCCTGACTTGTATGCCAATGCTTTCATGAAGTTTGGGAGTGAGGGTAGGGTGGTGTATCTGTGCCCCAGAGAGCGGAGGAAGCCTGGCTCCAATCGTAGACCACAAGGCTGTCTCCCGACCCCAACCCAGGTTCTCCCCATGGAGTTCCAGGTAGCAGGTGGAAAAGGCTCCCTGGCTGCCTGTAGCCTGTAGCCTGGCCTGAAGGGTTGTGAAGGGCAGGGCGGGGTAGGGTCAGGTGTTTGTCTCTGCCTCCTCGCGCTGGGATCACTCTGCGGTCTGCCCTTGGTTTAGTCAGCCCTGGCCACAGGATGACAGGACCTCCCGTCGGATCCAAATGACTCAGAGACCTGCTTCTCAGCATCCCTGGCTGCCGCTGCTCTGGACGGCTGCCACCACTGAATGTCACCCAAGGAGCAGACCCAGCACCTCTGCTCTCCGGAATGGTAGGGGGCGTTGCGTGTACAGTGGGGTGCGGGATCACGTGCTGCCCTGCGCAGGTGCCGGTGTGCCCCAACTGAGTACGGCTCTGCGTCCTAGGCCGTCTAGGTGAGTGTGTGAGTGTGTGCGCTGCCAAACCAGAGATGGCGGTAAGTCCCCCCACAGAGCGGGGACCAACTCCTCTTTCTGGGCCACGTATACCAGCTCCTATAC